AAGGAGGAGGAGGAGGAGGAGTCCGAAAGTGTACCTTTATGCGTGTTTTTCCGTCTCTAGGGTTACGTCGGGCGTGTCCCCCTACAGAGGGACTTTCGACGAAAACTAAAAAATCCGCCGCCCCCTGTTGATTCATCACAGGGGTGCCTGGCGTGCTGAATCCTCTCGGTTTTGGTTTTGGTTCTTTTTCCAAAAGAACTCCCCCTGGGGCTCCGGCGCGTCCCGCCGGGGTCCCGGGAGGATTGCCACGGACCTCAATTCCCTTTTTGTCTGCCCAAGACGGCTCCAAGATGGCCTCCAAGATGGCCCAAGATGGCCTCCAAGTCCACCCAAGATGGTCCAAGGCGGCCTCCAAGACGGCCCAAGAGAGTCCAAGACGGCCCAAGACGGCCCAAGAGGCCCCCCAGAGGCCTCCCAGACGGCCCAAGAGACCTCCAAGAGGTCCTCCAGGAGGGCCCGAAGAGGCCAAAATCATTGATTTTCCCTAGGTGTTTGAAGGATTTTGGAATTTGCTTCTTCTCGGCATTCCGACGGCTCAAGACGGCCCAAGAGGCCCCCAAGATCGCCCAAAAGGCCCCAAGAGGGCCTCATGACGGCCCAAGTGGCCTCCAAGGTGGCCCCAAGAGGGCCCCAAGACGGCCCAAGAGGCCTCCAACAAGCCCAAGATGGTTTCCAAGACGCCCAAGATGGCCTCCAAGACGGCCCCGAAGCGCCCCAAGAGGTCCCCCGTTGGCCCAGAAAGGCCCCCGAGACGGCTCCCGACGGCGTCAGACGTGCCAGGAACCCACCAAGATGGCCGAAGTTAGCTCGAAGCTGGCCCAAAAGGGCCCAAGACGCCCAGGATGGCCTCCAAGACGGCCCCGAAGCGCCCCAAGAGATCCCCCGTTGGCCCAGAAAGGCCCCCGAGACGGCTCCCGACGGCGTCAGACGTGCCAGGAACCCACCAAGATGGCCGAAGTTCGCTCGAAGCTGGCCCAAAAGGGCCCAAGAAGCCCCCAAGAGGGCCTCCAGGAAGGCCAGAAGAGGCCAAAAACATTGATAGTCCTTAGGTTGTTTTACGGATTTTGGCATGTTCTTCTTTTCGGCTTTCCGACGGCCCGAGACGGCCCAAGAGCCCCCAAAGATCGCCGAAAGATCGCCCAAGAGGCCTCCAAGACGGCCAAAATGACCTTCAAGATGCCCACGTGTTCCCCGAAGGTTTTCCAAACCGATTCGGGGAACACACATGGTCCGATGGCTTGGCAGGTCTGGCCTCAACGTTCGGCCACATAGGCGCTTCCACAAAGGCAGGGGGCGGCGGTGATTCGCCGTAGGCGTCTTCGATACTCAAAAATAGTCCAAAAATATTATGGGGACTGTTTTTCCAGTATGTTTTGACCTTTTTGGGGTATTCTTTATTTTTCATCGAAAATCCCCCTGTAGGGGGACACGCCCGACTTAACTCTAGAGATCCCCCACTGCCGATCGGCAAACTTTGGCGCCCGCTCGTCTCGGCCCACTCCGAGGGCCTGCCCGAGCACCCCCAGAGATGTGCGCGCTGCACACTGCCTGGTCGCCTTGCGCCCCATGCTTGGATTTGCAACAGGTGTCCCTGGCCCAAGGCTCCAAACGGGAGTCGTCGTCGTCGTCGTCGTCGGGGCCGAGTATAAGCTTTTACTTCCACGACCCCCCGCTGGCCTTCCGCCTGCCTTCCGTGGGTTTCTGCCCGCAGGCCGTCTTGCTTCCGCCGGCCTTCCGCTGGCCTTCCGCCGAAGGCGAGGATGCGCCGAAGCCGGGGCCCCTTCTGGAACGCTCCATGCGTCGCTGAGACGTAAGAGTGACCCTTCGCCGGAGTGACCTTATGGTTCGGGCTCATCGGGGCCCCTCCGATCACCGAACTCGATGCGATAGTAGCGTCTTGCGAGCTTGGGTTTGCCCCCCCCCCACCCCCCCCCGCGTCCCCCCAAAAGCCGCGCACCAAAGGTCAGTCTTGCCCAGGGTCACTCTTGCGTCTGGCCGACATGTGTCGGGGGAGCGTAAGACCCGGGTTTGCCGGGACTCGGGTTCGCCACCGTTTTTTGACGACCGCGCCTCGGATTTTGACGAGGAGGAGTTTCGTGGGATGTCTGCAGCGGGAGGCCTCGCCAGAATGCAGGCTCGGCCTCGTCATTTTTTGACGACCTCGTCGGGGATTTCCGAGTCCCCCGTACCCGGGTCTTACGTCTCCCCGACTGGTGGGGAGGTCGGGTTCCCCTGGGATCGTCCCTCTTTCGCCGCCAGTGGCCTCTGCGTCGCCACGGCCGGGCTCGGCTCGAAAGCTCGCCGGGGCGTATCTGCGCGGAGTCCGGGAGCGAGTTTCGAGAGGAGGTCGGCGAGAGCGTTGCAGCTTCTTATGTATGAGGATTCCGTTGTCAAGGAGGAGTTATATTCTAGTGTGCGGGGCCAACGTTGGGATTGTCAAGAAGTCTGCGCGCTTCACCTGGGTACCCTCCTGACTCGTCGAACACGTTGGCGGAGGAGGAGGAGGAGGAGGAAGAGGAGAAGGATGCCCCCCCTCAGCTCGTTGAGTTCCGGCTGAAGCGCGCCGGGATTGCCTGCGTGGTGTTGCGCGGAGGCATGTCGATCCAGGCACCGCGGGGGCGGCGCTTGCGTATCGCACACCACGGCCTCGCTTCACTTCTCCATAACGTCGTCAGACCTTGATTTGATATCAGCCTGTTCACGTCTGACTGTAATCCGTTCTGAGCACATGATCGGGCAGATCTGGGGTCTGAGGCGTGATCAGCTTGAGATCAGAAAGGCTTCTGTCGGTCTGGGCGTGTGCGCGATTGTGGTTGCCCGATCAGTCCTATGAGATCTTCCCGTCTGTGTGAACCACTGACGATCTGAAGAGCGCCATATGCCATGATGGGGTCTCCATGTCCAGCTGAGACAGCGTTATACATCATCAAGCAAACCAGCAGGTTGTATTTCCAGAATCCGACATGGGTTTTCAAAGTTCTCCCGAAACAGAAGATGCCTGTACGATTCGGGTGGTTAAGTTTAAAGTTCCACCTACTGTTTCAAAGTCTTTGCACTTTGATGCGCATGGTTGTAGCATGCGCGACTTGGTTGCAGCCTCACTGTATAGTGGTGCATGGTGCTTTGTACTTTGTCGGCATATGGGGATGTGTAGAGTACATGATCCTTCGAGTTTGGGGCCCGCAACAAAGACAAGGAACGATGATGTACTACCCAATTATATTGGAGGGAATGTTCACTCTCTAGACCGAGGCGTGGTGCGACTAGTCCAGTAACGAATGCCGACACCATGGGTCATGGCAGGGACAAATCTCTCAACATGTCAATTACGACATAGTTGGTGCAATCGAAATCCGAGATGGGTAGGACGCAAAAGATAAAGAACCTAAGCACGTCAAAAACAAAGCCATATTACTCCTACTGGCCGCAGTTTCCCAACAAAGGCTTCTCGCCAAACGGGGTCGGGAACTCGTAATTTGATCGATGCCGTCCGGCAGAACCGAAAATTGGATGTCTTCTCCTCCGCGCACCAAGGCGAGTGATGAAAAGTACGAAAAGGTCCATAAGTGCACAATTTTGCAGTTGGGTTGAGTTTGTGTTACGTGCATTGCGTCAGGATGTGCTGTTTTATGAGTACTGGTATGCGTTGCGTTGGCATGCCCTGCATTATTTGCATTGCACCCGATGTGCTGATTTACGATGTGCTTATTTGCCGTTGCTTTAAATGTGAGGCTCGTTATTTCGACTCGTCTGTGGCATGTGCACTGCGTCGTTTGGTTTCGTCCCGTTTCGTAATGCACCTAGTTGTTATTGTTGATGTAGTTGTGTTGTTGGAATGCGGTATCGTACGTCTTGGCGTGTATGTGATATCCGAATAGGCTTGCCTACATTAGCTCTCGCGTCGTATCCAGCTACCTGCGGCAAGGCCCGCCATCGTGCCGGCCCAGCACTCTGGGCGGCGACTGCTAGGGGAGCGCACGGGAAGCCTTCTTGTGTGACACATCGTGCCCCGAGGTCTGGGAGAGCCGTAAACATGTGGCACGTGTTCCCTTGTCGCGTCGGGGCGGTTGTCTGACATTGATGTTTGTTTCTCTCTGTCCCTCTCTCTCTTTCTCTCTCTCTCTCTATCTCTATAGCGTTGTTGTTATCTCTCTCTCTCTCTCGTTTTGTTTCTCTCTCTCTCTCTCGCGTTGTCTCTCTCTCTTTCTCTCTCTCTCTCTCTCTCTCTCTCTCTCTCTGTCTCTCTCTTGCTTTTTCTCTCTCTCTCTCTCTCTCTCTCTCCATGTATATCTATATATATATGTATATATATGTATGATGTCTCTCTCGCTCTCTCGCCTTTCTCCTCCCTCTATCTCTCTCTCTCTCTCTCTCTTTCTCTCTCTCTTTCCCCCTGTATCCCCTGCATCATCTCAGTTAACCCTCGTCTCGTGGGGCGTGTTGGGGGCCTCTTGTACAGTCCTTTGGCTGTCTTAGGGCGTTATTGGGCAGGAGATCTTGGCGACCGTAGTGGCTACTTCGCCTGGGCCGGCCTGGGGGCCATTTAGGGAGTTTGGGGGAGCACCATAGAGGGGCATCGGGGCGCCAAGGCAGAGTAGCAGAAGTTGGTTCGGGTGCGTGTGTGTGTATGTGTGACTGTGTGCGTGTGTGCGTGTGTGCGTGTCTGTGTCTTTGTCTGTGTCTGTGTGTCTGTGTGTCCGTGTGTGTCTGTGCTGTGTGTGTCTGTGTGTCTATGTTTGTGCGTTTGTGTGTTTGTGAGGTTGTGTGGTTGTGTGTGTTTGTGTATTTGTGTGTGTGTGTGTTTGTTTGTGTGTGTTTGTCTGTGTGTTCGTGTGTTTGTGTGTGGTTGTATGCTTGTGTTTGTGGTTGTGTTTGTGTGTTTGTGTGTGTGTGTCTCCTCATCCTGCATGGTGGTCTAATTCGCAGTCCGTGCACCACACCACGCTTCTTTCGCCAGTGCAGTGACTCTGCCCAGCCGCCGACACAAAATTGTGTGTGGTTGTGGTTGTGATTGTGGCTGTGTGAGTGTGAGTGTGTGTGTGTGCGCGTGTGCGCGCGTGCGTGCGTGCGTGCGTGCGTGTGTGTGTGTGTGTTTGGTGTGTGTGTGTGGTTTATGTCTGGTGTCTGTGTGTGGTGTGTGCTGTGTGTGGTGTGTGTAGAGTGTGTGTGGTGTGTGTGGTGTGTGTGCGTGTGTGTGTCTCTGTTTATGTGTTTGCGCTTGTGTTTGTGTTTATGTGTCTGTTTCTGCTTGTGGTTGTGGGTGTGGGTGTGGGTGTGGTGGTTGTGGTTATGTTTGTGTTTGTGTTCGAGTTTGTGTGTGCGTGTGTGCGTGCGTGCTTGTGTGTGCGTGTGTTTGTGTGTGTGGTGTGTGTGGTGCGTGTGGTGTGTGTGGTGTGTGTGTGCGTGTGTTTGTGTGTGTGCTTGTGTTTGTGTGTATGTGTGGGTTTGTTGTGGTTGTGGTTGCGATTGCGTTTATGGTTGCTTTTGAGTTTGTGTTTGTGTTTGAGTTTGTTTGTGTTTGTTTGTGTGTGCGTGTGTGTGTGCGCGTGTGTGACAGGGACATTGAACGAGGAGGAAAATGGAGAAAGCGAAGACAGTGGAGGAGAGGAAAGGGGAGAAAGGGGAGGGGAGGGGAGAGGAGAGGAGGACATGATGAGAGAGCGGGGCGGAGGAAAGGAGGGGCGACGATGGGACGAGGACACGACGACGAAAGGAGGGGATAAGAATTCAAAGGGACGAGGAGGGGAGAGGAGAGATTGGTAAGAAAAAGAGAGAAAGGAGGAAGGGGATGGGAAGAAGAGAGCAGAATTGAGGAGATGGTAAAAGAGGGGAGACGGAAGGAGGGGAGAGGACAGGAAGTAATATCCGTAAGGGCTTCGCCCCCTGCCGCCGGCCCCCTCTCTCGGAGAATGGGCCATGGAAGAGCTAAGTCATGAGGCCTTGGCGTTGTTGTGAAGCAGTATCGAAACTTCATGCGAAGCCGAACGCAATCAGCAAAACCAACTGATCACAAGAGGGGTTACCACACCTGGCGATTGGTAAGACGTGTATGGTTTACGGGCTTGGTTACCACACCTTGCGATTAAAGGGCCGAGGGAGTTCTCGCAGTTTGGGTTACCACGCCTTGCGATGGATGTGCGTGATGGGTTCGAATTTCAGAAATGTGGCAAATCCCCTTTGTTTTTGGACCCTGACCCCGCGGATCTGCGTGAGGGGTGGCACCGAATTTCAGAAATGTGGCAAATCCCCTGTGTTTTTGGACCCTGACCCCGCGGATCTGCGTGAGGGGTGGCACCGAATTTCAGAAATGTGGCAAATCCCCTGTGTTTTTGACCCTGACCCCGCGGATCTGCGTGAGGGGTGGCACCGAATTTCAGAAATGTGGCAAATCCCATGTGTTTTTGGACCCTGACCCCGCGGATCTGCGTGAATGGTGGCACCGAATTTCAAAAATGTCGCAAATCCCCTGTGTTTTTGAACCCTGACCCCGCGGATCTGCGTGATGGGTGGCACCGAATTTCAGAAATGTGGCAAATCTCCTGTGTTTTTGGACCCTGACCCCGCGGATCTGCGTGAGGGGTGGCACCGAATTTCAGAAATGTGGCAAATCTCCTGTGTTTTTGGACCCTGACCCCGCGGATCTGCGTGAGGGGTGTCGATTTCGAGCCCCCCCAGCAATTCAGACAACGCGCCCAGGGGGTGCTAAAAATCCTGTTTGGGCCTCCCCCCCCCTCGCGCGGTCAATCAACTAGTTACAGTAACCAGCAAGAAGTCAACTAGTTACAGTAACCAGCAAGAAGCAGAACTGTAACACTGGAAACTACAAACTACAACTGGTACAGGAAACTGCGAATCACGCGCCTCGCAGCCTGGTTGCCCCACAAGGGGGCCAGCGGATTGGTGAGAGGGAGATGGCTCTCTCCATGTCGGGCAGCAGAGAGCCGTGCTGGCTTTCATCAGCGGGGGGTAAACAAGTTGGCCCCTGCTCGGAAACAGCCCGTAGTGGGGGCACCGGCCCTCCAGAGCCCAGAGCCTGAAGAACGCAGGTGCCGCAGGTCGAGTGCTGGCGGGCCGTGACCAGGTTTGGTGCCCGCAGTTTGGTCTAGCCCGCGAAATGTGACCGCAGTACGGCAGGACATCTGCTAACCATTGGCCTTACATGGATATCCGAACCGAGCAAGCGATATTGTCATGCCATTCTTGCCATTGGTTTAGCAGAGGAGCAGCAGATGTGGAGGACGACTCCACGGAGCATGCCTCGGGTGTCCCCTGCCCCACCCGCCAATAGGCCAGGGTCGATTCCATCACGGCGTTCAACACGGATCCGCACCTCAGGCTTTTGTTGAGTTCAGATTGGTTGCATCCGTCCCCCATCGCACCCCATCATCAAGGCATGTGTAATTGATATGTCGCTAGCATCAGTGCCCTACAGATAATTGTTTTTGTGTTCTAGATCTCTATACTTGTATCCATACTGTATACGTCCCCTCACCACCGCTGGCACCATCGTTCCTGATTGTTCCAATCCCCGTCCCAGTGTCAACGACTACCGCTGTTGCCGTCTCTTTCATATTGGGTTCGGTCCCTCTCTGCCCCCACCCTCAATCTCCCTGGTGCCAAAGCACCTTGAAATCCAACATTCCGGGAATCACAGCTACACGCGTCCCGTTCCCTTCGAACCGTTGCGGAAGTGGAACCCAGAGAGCCCCGCCCAGACAGTGTTTCGGCAGAGTGCTTCGAGGGCCGGGCGGAAACTAATGTACACCTTCGTCTGGCAGTTTTGTATCTTGAGTCCGGAAAATTGGGCGCTGCAGAATGCTCCGAACCCATGAAGCAGCATTGTTTTATCGGGCGGTTGCCGCGAACCCAGCTCCATCCTTGGCGTAGTGGTAAGAAGTAGTGATGTGATGCTCGAATGGGTTGTTCCCTCGTTTCGCTCGCCTCTCTCTCTCTCTCTCTCTCTCTCGTTCTCTCTCTCTCTCTCTCTCTCTCTCTTTGTCTCTCCCTGTATATATATATACAGTTCGATACATCAGAATATATATATATATATATATACATATATATACACATGTGTCTAAGTATATACACATATGTAGATATATGTATATATGTATGTATCCCTCTCTCTCATTCTCTTGAATCGTCGCCTTTGGGCCCTTCGCGGGGATTCCTCCGAGCTTCACAAGATCTCTAGCTTTGTTCGCCCAGGGCACCGAGCCTATTTTGCGGCGTCTGGCCCCGGATAGTGAACCACCGCATTTGCACGTTCAGGGTTTTTGAAGCACGTTGCGTTCGATTGAAAGTTCGACGGTAGCATTAGCGGAAGCATAAGTAGCGTTAGCGGTAGCAGAGTAGCATTAGTGGTAGCAGAAGTAGGAGGAGCATCCAGATCATTTCCACGATAATGGTGAGGCGTTGTTGTGCCAATTTGGTCGTCAGTTTGATCGCGGAGCGATGCTTTTTTTTGCCCGGCCGCCGTGCTGACCTTATCGTGGAGGTTTTGCGTTGCGTTTGGGGCTCAATGACAACGCGTATTTTGGCCGCAATTTCTTCCAGGATGCGCAATGTTTGGGTCCCCGCGCGGTGGAGACAGAGGTCTTGTGGTGCGTGTTTTCTTGCGCGGCAGCGGCAAGGACAGCATTATGCGCGTGGCCAGGTGTTCCAGGAATGCATGATACAGATACTGCGTATCCCCGGCGTTGCGTTTGTTGAATGGTGCTGCGTTTGTAAAATTACGAAGCGTCAAGCCTGCGCGACTGTATCGTGCGCGTTATCGCGCTACTCGGTTGCATGTTGAGGCGCAGCCACCTTGCTACATGTCGGACGACCGACTTGTTCTTCCAGCGGGCCCGTCTGTGGGCGGGACCACCCCGCGTGGGTATTCACAGCCGCGTCGGTCGGTTTTCTTCAAAGCCTGTCTTACAGTCAGCCCGCACAGTAAATTACCAGGTGAGTTGGTTAATCAGGGACGGATGGAAGCATGCGGTCGCGCAGCGTTTTGAAAGCGTCCAAGTTGGGTGGGCAGTACCTTGGGGCCAGAAAACACGGACCACTAATAGCTTCGCGCAACGATGTTTTAGGAAAGAAATCAGTGTAAGATGCGCCATGGTGTTCTTTGTGGGAAGCGTGTCGGGCGCAGGTTGCTGTATCTACGATCCGACGCCAGTGTTGCGCAGAGTAGAGTTGTATTGTAGTGGCTTCCGGCCAGTGCCGCCGATCCGGGGCGCTCCTGATGCTATTGTTGTTGAAATGGACGATGACGACGACAACGGACGACCAACGGTCGACGAGCGGGATAATTACGACGACGACCGACGAAGGAGTTAATAACGACGAACCGACGACGACGACGACGACGACGACGACGACGACTGACGGCGAACGGCTGCCGACGGCCAACGACCGACGGTTGGTGACGGCGACGGGTGGATGGTTCTTCGTTCATCGCTTTCGCGCTTCCGAGCAATACCAAGTCAGGCCGTGCACCTTTGGCCTGGCAGCACGCGAGTGAGCGCTTCTTGGGGCCTCTTGGTTCTTGGGGCTTCTTGGAGGCCTTGGGGGCCTCTTGGGGGCCTCTCGGGGTCCTCTTGGGGGTCTCTTGGGGACCTCTTGGGGGCCTCTTGGGGGCCCCTTGGGGGCGCCTCGGGGGCATCTTAGAGGCTCTTGGGGTCATCTTGGGGTGGAGGACTGGAAGGGTCCGCTCGGATTCACCCTCTTGAGGCCATCTTGGGGGCCTCTCGGGGTCGTCTTGGGGGGCCTCCAGGACTATATTGGGGCCCTCTTGGACCGTCTTGGCTCCTCTTGGGGGCCTCTTGGGGCGATCTTGGGGGCCTCTTGGACCGTCATCGGCGCTTCTAAGACGGAAAAGGCGATAATGTTCAAATGCTTCAAAATATATTAGCAACTTTATTATTGTACCCTCTTGGGGCCCTCTTGGGGGTCCTCTTGGGATCTCCTTGAGGCGTCTTGGAGGCCTCTTGGGCCGTCTTCAGGCCATCTTGGGCGTCCAGGAGCGCTCTTTGGCCGTTTCGGGCGTTTCCTGGACCGTCTTGGTGGCCTCCTGGGCACCTTTTGGCCCGTCTTGGGGCGGTTTGGGATTCCCGGGGGGGAGGGGAAGAAAGGGTGGACCCCATGAACCCCCCCCCTCCCCCCCTACCCCGGCAGAGCCACCCCGGCCCCCCCCAGCAGAGCTGAAGCTCAGGTTGTAGCTTTCTTAAACTCACACGCCGGATCGGCGGATTTCGATGGACATCCTTGATTTTAGCTCTTGCACAGATGTGTATCGTGCGTTTTGAAATTGCTCAGGTGCTGGTGCTGCTGCTGATGCGGGCTTTGGGGATATGTCATGGTGAGGGGTTATTCGGAGACTCGTAATGCCATTTGGGCGCCATCTTGGGACCTTCTTAGGGCCCTCTTGGGGCTCTCTTGGGGGGTCTTGGAGCCCTATTGGGGGGGGTCCATTTTTCAAAAAGAGAGGGGGTCTTAACTCCCGTCGCCCCCTCGGAGGCTCAAAAATTCCGTTTTGGGGCCCCCTTTGGCCCGCTCTTGGGGCCGTCTTAGGGCCATTTTGAGGCCTCAAGAGCCCATCGAAGGCGAAAATGCGAGAAGGCCAAAGCAATGTTTGTCTACGTTTGTGGAAGGATGTTGGCCTCTCGGGGGGGTCCCTGGAGGGCTCGGAGGGCACTTGAAACCGTCTTGGGGCCGTCTTGAGACCTTTTAGATGCGTGTCGGAGGCTATCTTGAGCCATTTTGAGGTATCTTGGGCTATCTTGGAGGCCATCTTGGGCGCTCTAAGGCCCTCTCGGAGCCATCTTGGGCCAAAAAAGACCCTCTGCCACCTCGCGGGGAAGCCCTTCCAGACCCAGGGAGGGGGGGAGGTAAACCTCCCGAGCAGGGAAAGGAAGGAGGTTGGAAAAGGAAGGAGGTTGGAAAAGGAAACGCCCTAGACCACCTGCGCCCAGAGGGCTGGTGGCACAGCCCGCACAATAAGGACGAGTAACCAGGGGGGTAAGGAGTACAGCTCCACCACTTGTGGCTGGCCGGCGGAGCCCGCCTCCGGCCCTTCGCAAAGGGTGATCCTCATCTCGCTCAAGGCGGGCGGCGAGGGCCTCAACCTGCAGGCCCGGGGAGGGGGGGGGGCACAGCCGGGGGAGGGCCATGGTCTTCTCGACTACATGTAAGCGTGACCTTTCGCCAGAGTGACCCTTGATGCGGGCCCACTGGGGTCCCATGATAAGTATCCGGAGCGCGATGCGATAGCAGCGGTCGGCGCGTCCAGGCCAAGCCGCGCACCAAAGGTCCCTCTTACCCAGGGTCACTAGCGTGCAGTCGACACGTGGGCTTCCCAGATGGTGTCCGAGCAGATGGGGTTGGACGTTCGCGCAGCATCGCCGATGCATCGCCGATGCGGCTCGATGTTCAGGAGCGAAAAAAGGACGTACACGTGCATGAATACACGTTGGCTTCGAGAGTGCGGGTTGCGCGCACGTTCGTATCACGCGGCTGGTCTCGCGGAGTGGGGGACCGTGTTCATGTACGTGGTTGGGCGCGTATTTTTTGTGGGCCCCTTATAGATAGGGTCCAAGCAGATGGGGTTGGACGATCGCGCCGCATCGCCGATGCATCGCCGATGCGACTCGATGTGGAGCCCGGCTTTCTCCACGCCGGCGGCGCCGATGGCATCGCCGACGTTTCCAATTCATCCACGATGCATTGCCCATGCATTGGCGATGCGACGCGGTCCTCCAACCCCATCTACTCCGGGCGACGAAATCTATACATGTCCATTGCCATTTGGCAGGGCCATTGCTGGACCCAGGAGTTATGTACGCGCCCTCGCGTACACACCGCTGCTGGGCTCAGGGTGGGTCTGGCCAGGGAGCAGCGGATACGTATATCGGACGGGGCTAGGACGAGGACAACTCCGCTCCAGAGCATTCCTGAACGCCCTCAGACAGGTCCGGAACGCCCTGAGCAGGCCGCGGCGCCCGAGACGTCCTCCAGATCCGCCAGATCTCAGAGGGTTTCTCGATTTGTGTCCTCCCCCTATGCTGTGTTCTTCCTGGCCTCGTCCTGGTATGATGTTTGTAGAGCTCGTCGCCCTGCTGCCTGGACCACAGACAGGATCAGGAGGGGAAAAACACACAGACACGATGAGTCGTCGATTCCCCAGAAATGCGGGAAACTATGGGAGGTGGGGGGAAGACGAAAACCCAGAAAACGTGGGGAAATGTGGGGAACATGTTTATTCGTGTGTGCGTGTGTGTGTGTGTTTATTTGTGTGTCCTGGGGCCCCTTCAGTAGAGCTCGTCGCCCTGCTGCCCCGTACCCCAGCCAGGAGGCCTCTGCATCCCTCCCCGCGAGAAGTCACGCCGGGGGGGCGACGGCCCGCGCTCCGCGTGCGGGCTTCCGCATCCACCGTCGCGGGCCTCATGCCTCTCCTCCTCCTCCCTCCTCCTCCTCCTCCTCCTCCTCCTCCTCCTCCTCCTCCTCCTCCC